AGATAGATAGATAGATAGATAGATAGATAGATAGATAGATAGATAGATAGATAGATAGATAGATAGATAAATAGATAAATAGAGTCATGTTGGAAGTCTGCTTGGTAGTGGAAAGACCCATAGAGATTCATAGATATCTAGGCTGCACTTCTGCTGAGCTCTTAAGCTCATTAGATTCAGAATGGATGATCTAGGATTAGCAATTCTAAATTTTCAGAACTTTAGAATCAAAACTAGACAACCCTGTGACCTGTTGGGTCATCCTTTGAGAGCAGAATGAACATTAAATTTTAGGTTGAACATATTTTTTTTATCCGAGTGCTGGACAGTCCTGTGATCATCTAAGAAGAATATATATCATAAATAGAAAAATAATTGTAGTGGCAAACGAACTTCAATAAAAAATCAATATTTACTTATGTAAACAGATAAACAGAATGACCACAGGCAGGCCAAAAAGCAGTGGGAGTGGGAGCAACTTCCAACTTCGTGCCAGCTTCCCCATTGACTTTGCTTGTGGGAAGCTGGCAGGGAGTGTTGGAAATCAAGATCACATGACCGTGGGGATGCTGCAACAGCCACAACTTTGTGAATAAAATTATCTGAACATCATGGAAATTTCAATTCCGCATAAGTAATGGGTCCCAGAGTTTTTACGCATTCTTTAAGTTAGTGGATTTTAGGTATCTTGATTCAAAAATTGTTGCAGTATAATGCACCATTTGGGCTAACTTGAGAGTACAAACACAAACAGATAAACACAATGAGAGTTTTAGTAGTATATAAATACATTAAAATCTATCATAATATAAGTTTTATATTTATTTTCTAGATATCCAGCCAAATCTGTGAATGGAAAAAATAAGGTAGGATAGAAGACCTCCAAGGTCGCTTCCAAACCTATGATTCTATGATTCTGTGAAAACAAGCTTGCAAAATGTTGCCTCGATTTACTAATGTTTCTAAAACTTTGAAGTGAAAAGCACAGTGGGCCAATTTATGTTTGAGATTAATGACTAAGGTTTTTAGCAATGCTTTGATATGATGTATAATTTGATAAATCACAATTTGTCAGTCAGCTCATAAGCTACTATCCAAAACTATGGATTCTATATTTTGATTAGCTGTTACATGAAGATCAGTAAGCTATGGTTTGTTGTACCTCCACTATAACAAACACTGAAAAGACTGAAAATAGAATTACAGAGTAAGTTCTTGCTAGTGTTTTTTAAATATTCAGAATGTGACGGTGCAGACAGTTCTGTATGCCCCTAGGAGGGCACATATAACACCATTGTTACATGAGTTGCTTCTGGGTCCAATTCAAGGTGTTGGTCATCACCTTAAAGCCCTCTATGGCACAGGACCAGGTTATCTGAGGAGCCGTCTCGCCCCAGTAACTTCAGCCCGCCCCACTCAGTCCAGCAGAAGGGGCATGTTGCAGACCCCACTCAAGGAATTTCGATTGGTGGGATCTAGGCAGAGGGCCTTTTCTGCTGTGGCCCCTGCCCTATGGAACAATCTCCCTCCCGAGGTCCTGTGTGCCCCCACTCTCATGGTCTTCAGGAAAAGGGTGAAATCCTGGCTGCGCCAGAAGGCCTAGGGGCCGAATGGGGGCTTGCACCAGTGGAGGTGGCTTGTAGGGTGATTGACCTTGCCCCCCCATCATTAGTATTTATGTACAGGGTTTGTTGTTCAGATTTGATTTATAATGGATTATTTATTTAACTATTTATGGGGGGATTTTTAATTGTTGATGGGGTTTCTGATTTTAATTGTGAGCTGCGCAGAGTCACCCATTGGGGGGAGATGGGCAGCATATAAATTTAATAATTAATAAATAAATAAACCAACCAACCAACCAACCAAATTACCTCCCACAATTTCTGCCTCATTCCTGATTTTTATATCTATAGCAGAGATTGTAAGAGTGGTTCACAAAACCAAAATGTAATAGAATTAATACTGGAATTGATTTCAAAATTATAATATAAAGTAATAATATAGAAATGAACAGAATTAAGTGATACAGTTCCTGCTTAAAGTGTTCTTCAATCATAGAAAAACAAAACTCCTGTCTCTGGCCCATCTTAGAGACACTGTCTCCATCACCTTATCTCCAGATAAAGATAGGTGCTCCAAAAACATGAAATATTCATGTGTCTCCTGCTTTAGACCTATATATAATCAGAAATCAAAATTTATTGATTTCTAGTGATAGTGGTATCAGAATTCTCCAGTTTCTACCTGTGGTCCAGGATTGAATTTTCTTAGTTACATTCCTAAGCCTTGGACAGAGTTCTTTTGAGTGCTGTATGCAAATCTTCTACATTTCAAAGCATATAGTAGAGAATGAAGAAACATAAAGTTTTGTGGGAAGAAATGAAGGATTTTGGAAAGCAGGAACAATTGTATATCTGCCTACATGAATGTATGCTGCTGTTCATAGACTTAAGATAAAAAACTGGAACTAGGGAGAAAGTTATGGAATTAGAAAACATATTTTGGTAATAGTTCTATAGAAATAAATAACTATAATTCAAAGGGGCCATAACAGAAATTGGTGCCTTGGGGAAGCTCTGTAACTGACACCACCTGAAAAAATAGAAATGTGCATATCTGTCTGAAAATTCCTGAATAGGCAAGCCCTACCTTGCCTTCACTATCCAGGCAGAATGGTCAAACAGAAACAATTTAGAATGCAAAAGAACATAGCTCAAACATGGAAGCTTCCACAGAAAGCGACACATTAATTGCTTTGCATACTTTAGCATAAATGGTTTAGATGACGATTTAGGGCTAAAGTGTAGTCCTTTTTGCAGACTGAGATGTTGGTAGGTTCATGTGTCCTGGTTGTGATACAGGGGCAGTCGTAACATTTAGTGGATTTATTAGAAAGACTGTGCCATCTAATTAAACCAATTCCATATTTCTAAAATTTTCCTAGTAGAATCAAATGTTAATAAAAGAGAAATGAAGGACTATTTGATTTAGAATACAATCATGTTTAATTCTACTTATGTGTTTCATTTATAGCTTTATAGAGCATTGAGTATTACTAATGATCTGGATGACTTAACTCCATCTTCAGATTCAACTACAGAGGATATTGAGTTGCCTTCTTCCATTTACAAGGAAGCTATAGTGCTGATAGAACAACTTAGTTTTGATAGTAAAGGTGAGCATATTTGTTATTGTCAAACATAATTGTTTATTATTAATAGAAAATATGTTTTTGGGATATTTGCTTTTTATCAAGATTTATCAAGGTTTTTGTCTCATCAGTGTTCTCCAGATATATTCAATTACACTACACTATAGACATAATGAAAAAGAGACAACCATATAAAAATCCCAGCATTCCCAGCCAGCATGGTTATTGGCTGTACTGGCTGAAAATAATAGGTGCTATAGCCACATCTGGGAGAACCCATTTGAGAAAGTGTCCTAATGTGGATTTAGACTACAGATGCACTGAATATTAGTCATCATCATTTTCAGAAGCAAAAGGAAATATTTTGCAACTATCAAAGAGTATATTGAAAATAACAGTAGGTTTCTGTTCTGTTTTAATAGCAGCAAGGGAGTTATGTGGCTTACAGGTGTATCTTCTATTCACATAATTTATTAGGGACTTTGAACTTGCAGTTCCTCGGAGGGATCTAATATTATCCATTGCCATCTAATTATGTCAATAGGCATTTCCCTTTTTAAAACAAGATTTAAAGAATTGTAGTTAGAAAACACTTCCTCAGTTTTGGCAGATTTATTAAAATCAAAACCAGGGACTTATCTGTTGTGTCCAGAGTGATTGCTTGTCAAACAAAAGGAGCGTTATGTTTATGTTTGTTTTGTTTTTACAGTGCCAAAAGTATAGTCACTTTTTGCTAAATTCCAGACAGATAAGCACAGGGACTTATACAGAATAAGTAACTATGCCTCCAAATAACATTGTGTTGTATCCAAAACACTAAAATGTCATAGGCACGTGCCTTATTTAAATATCTGTTTGGTACTTGATAGCTGAATTTACAATTTCCACACATACTTCTCTAAATTTGAATCACTTTAAACCTCTTTGTGCCAGTGTATTTCACTCTATTCTGTAAAAGCATTTAAATGTTACCACAATTTGTGGTTTTCCACATTAGTTAATGAGAGAAGGTCATTAACAATTCTGATTTAGGCCATGAGTTGAACAGGTTTTGATTTGGTGTGAGCTGAAGAGTGATGTTTTTCAAAGAGAATCCAGTCAGCCTATAGAAGCATGTGTGTACACATGCTCAGAAAAGATAATGTAGCTATGCTTTAAGAACTTTTTAAACAAATTAATGAATAACATGACTTATTAAAACTGAGATTCTGATATAAATTGGAAACTATTGCCGAATAGCAATTATTATAGCAGACAGTAAAGCAAAGCATTGGGGAACTGGTTATTTTTTAAGTGACTATTAAAAATATAATTAAGCATGCTGTCCTAGACAGTGGGATGTGTAGAAGGCATTAATATGAGACAAACGTTCTGGAGTCCTGTGACAAGATGTACTTCTGGAAATTGCCAGACCACCCTCAAAGTTGTAGGGTCCAGAAAAAGTTTGGCTTTGTCTGAAGCAAAAGATAATGTTTCAAAATACTCTGGAACAATCTGTATTAAGATCAGCAATTTTGTAAATCCCGAAATGACACAAATAAAATCTTGTGTAAACTTGTCCCTTCCCCAGTTGGGGGCTGACAAGAGAGGTTCTACACCAACTGCTATTCTGTATAATATTGCCAAGAAGCATTTTCTTTGCTCCTGATCTCAGTCCTGTTGGAGGGAAAATACAGCCACAACCATAGATCTGAAAAAAAGGATCCCTTTGAAAAGGAAGAAATAGAGTTGGTGATGGGTGTTGTTGTGCTGCCAGTTCTGTATGGATTACGACTAGCACTTCTCCTGGAAGAAAATTTTGTTATGTTATCCAGCAAGGTCACAAATACAGTGGCCCAATTGCTAACTCGCTCAGGTATGCTAGCTTGGTAAAAGTAAGCTAATGAATATTGGAGAAAACCTTTTTGGTGTTACTGGCTTTTGCCTTACAAACTGGTCTCTCTCCATTACAAATAAATAAAGCATAAGGAATATAATGTAATATAATTACAATAATTATATTACTGTAATGTAATATAATTAATTTACCTTAACAAACAAAGTCACCTAAGATACTATGCTTGAATTTCAAATATATGTTAATATGGATAGATATTTGTGTATGTGTGTGGAGAGAGAGAAAGAAAGATTATTTACAGTAAATTGTAAAATGTTATATATATAAAATATATAAAAACAAAGTGAAGCCACACTGTTTCCCCAGTTATACTTTATTGGATACAAATATTTATACATTCTAGAAAATGAACGTACAAAGATAGTGAAAATGCCAGGTAACAATTAGAAGTACATTTTAGTCTGAAGAGACTAAAATATAAGTAAGAACGTTGACTAGAACTTTCTTTAGAATTTTATAAATGTTATATCTAGCAATAACTTCAATTTAATTCTGATATATTAATTATATTACTGAAAAGGAAATGATTCAAAGAGAAATATATATATTTACAAAATGGAAGATATATTTGAGAATCTCTGTTCCTGATAGACTAATTAAAGATAGCATTGAACCATTAACTCATAACTAAGTAGAATTTAAATAGATATTCCTAATCTGATCTGTCATGGTTGGGGAAACCCTCTTTAGTTAAATTTAATATCTATTAACGTTCTTCTTTTATTAATGGAAGTAGAGATAGAATAGAAATAGAAATCATCAGGAAAATTTAAATTGAATCCACCACTACTGAATAATGTTCTGTGAACTAATAAAGCCCCTGGAAATAAAATATCAATGATGCAATAAAAATAATAAAAGGGGTTAGTAACACCCATTGCTAACTAAGTATTATGTTTTAGTAGCTTTAATATTGCTACATTGGTAGTGGAAGACAAAGGACATGAATTCAGGTGAGATAAAGAAAAAGAGGCTTTCCCTCCCTATTTCTTGTGAAATATTGAATTAAATCCAACCAAATTATAAGGGAAATTATAGCAACTCTATAGTATAGAGTACAGAGTATACTATATAGTAACTCTAATTTTGCTTTATGCCAATAGAGGAAAGAGAAATCCACTAGTGGAGAAGCCAGCAAATCTATAATCCTGCCATTTCATCATTGACAGGAGGAACATAGCTGCTGCTTTTTCAATCACTATATGCAGTAAGGGGGAAAAAACTATCCACCATAAAATTGAAATATAGTTTCTGCAAATGTCAGAATATATATTGAT